GCCGTCAGACGCACACGACTGCGGAGGAGAAAAGCTATCTTGTAATACCAAGTATAGAGAAATTCAATAAGTTCACTTTGAGTGCCAAAACATATTGCAGAACAAACTATCCATGGAATGTGGCAGCACAAGGGAATAAATGTAATCACAAAATAATAAGATAGAGTGAAAATATAAAATAAATGCTACGTGGGAGACAAATACGGAAATATTGTTAGTGCCAGTAAACTACAGGGTACTCGGTGTCTTTCACAAGCAAAGCAGGGAAAAAACGTTTTGTGTTCTCCTGAAAAACTCATGTTGACTCAAAATGAGAAGGATACAGAAAACAGCTTTATATCAAGGCTTAGGCTATGACTGGAGTCTTGTATTTCATGAGCTGTAGCTTGAAAAGGTATAACGACGTCTTATCAGCCACAACAAAGTGGCAGAAGCAGAACAGTGGAAACAACAGAAGTTCCAGTTGGGAAAGATTTGGAAACGGACATTCGGCTTCTTGTTGAACCTGAGCGAATTTCCCAAGTTCAGAGACTCCCAAGAAAAAGGATCTTTTTATTTTGTGAAAAAAATTTCTGCGTGTATCATTTATACAACTATTTTTAGCTGTATCTTATTTAAGCACACTCGTATGAAAAAACTTCAAATCCATTTAAAATTTAAAATATTTTGGTCTTAGATGGAAAAGACAGACTCTGAAAATTGGAGGAAGGAAGAGTATCAAAGGGACACTGTATTACTGGATTATACAAAGTGTCCCCAGGGAATTAAAGTAATATATCAAGGGAAGTTTAGGGTCAAACCAGAGAAGTTAATTCTATCAACATGTTCCAGCAACTATTTACAGAATTCACCGCTGACTAGGGAGAGCATAAATAACGCCAGGGCCGCATTACTGACCACACGATGGAGACGGTGACAGAAACGCAACAGGGTAAGTAAAATTACACTGGCTGTGCAGAGAGTTTACACAATAATGCAAAATTTAATATGCTCCAACACATGTGGCATTAAATCAGGAAGTGACAAAAGAAATGAAGCTTCTACGTGCCATAAATGATTGCTGCTTGTACCGAGTAATCAGGCAACCCACGAGAAGAGAAGCCGATTTAGTTCTGAGTAGTACATAGGACCCGATTCAAGAAGTAGTTACCAGAGACCCACTTCTGGACTGAAAGTCAACATACTTGTTGATTTCCTTGAGAAGGAAACAACTTCCTTGAGAAGGAAAAGGATCAAAAAAAATCCACTGCGGTAATATTTAACTTTCAGAGGAGCGAGCAGATAAAAATGAGGAAGTTAGTTAAAAGAAAAAGGAAAAGAGCAGCTAAAAAGATTTAATGCAAACAGCAGGGAGGCAGGATAGAGGTAAGGTGTATGAGAGACTCAGAATAATCACATATAACCCATCAATTTTTTTAAAAAATTATACAAATCAACTATCTTACAAACAAAAAATAACCATCCCAACACCCAACCCAAAATAGCAGAATGAAGAAGATTTTGGAAAGACACCCTTCAAAAGTGTAAGTCATCTCAATGGAGAAAGATAGGGGGAAAAAAAGCATAAAATCTGTCAAGTTAAATATAAACCACAGTATTTTGAGAATCAACTTGCTACAGACATAAAAGTTAATAATTCTTTTTTGTTAAAATAACCACGCTAGAAGCAGGAGGCCTCCCAGAGAGATGATTGGGTAGATAGGCAATCAAGGTATAAAAGTACTGAATACCTAATTAATTATTTTCACTGATGTTCACAACAAAGAAGGTTAGAGAGATTCTCACAATCTGAGGAAGTTTCTCAATGTCTATCATCACCTGAAGGTGTTTTAGAAGATGTAAATAATATCAAACAATGAGAAGTGCCATAAGGTGATGTTCACCCAAAAAAGTGTTTTAAAGGAACTCAAATACGACATTTTTGAACTAACTACTGTAACATACAACCTGTCACTTCTGTCAGCCTTGATGCCAGAAGAAATGTTGTAACTGTGTCACAGTCCTTAAAAAAGGACTCAAGGGCTGATCCCTGTAATAACAAAATATAAAGCAGACACGGTTTTATGCCGCTGTAAAAGATCCATGTTGTTCTCATGTCTGGAATATCACGTGTAGTTTTAGCCTCACCGAATAAAAAAATGACAACATAGAACCAGAAGAGAGCAAGAAAGCACAGATGACCAGAGCTGTGGCATGGTTGTATACGTGGTAAGATTAAATAGGTTAGGATTCGTCATTTAGAAAATAGGTTGGAGGAGCGGACTTGTCGAGTCTATATAATCATAAATGGTATAACGGATGGAAAGAGGGATGCATTATTCTCTGTTTCTTCCTACCTAAGGAGGTACAGGCTTAACCATATAAAAACATTTAAAGCAAACAAAAGGAAATACCTTTCACTCATTGTGTCATTAAAATGTGAAATGTATTGCTGTAAGATGTCACCGAGATCAAGCTTATGACAGCTGGGTCTCTCTCTCCACTCAGCAGCTAGCAACCACTGCGGGTTTGATGGAGGCTCCAGCTCAGAAAGGCAGTTTATTGCTGGTAACTGGGAAGGCAAGGAAGAAATCCTTCATACTTCTTCCTGTTTGCCATAAATTCCTGCCGCTGATCACTGCTGAAGTCAGGATTTGAGGGCAAGCGGAGCACTCGTCAGCTCAAACAAGGTTACGTTTTCATGATGCTATCATAATAATAGTAATAATAAAAATAAAAACCAGAAAAGACTGCCTATTATTTGCAAAACGTTTTGATTTTTGATGGAGCTGTGTATCTGATGGAATTCAATACTGTTCAAAGTTGTGTTAACAAGCTTCAGGCACCCTTTCGGTGGGCGCTAATTCCACTGTTCCGTCTGGTGTGTGCTCAGCTGATTGGAAATGGGGTAACTGACATAGCAAGCTGCGTTCAGAAGGATCCCCGCTTTCATGTTTAGGTGTATCTTGTCACTAGTTTAGATGATTGCTGGGGTAGCAACTGCATTATATATAAATATATATATAAAAAAGTAGGTATGTGCATACATACGTATGTATGTGTGTGTGTATATATAATATATAAATAAAACCAACCTGGTAAATCTCACCATTTTTTCTGAACATAAAGTATTAATTCTGTGAGCCACGCTCCCTTTTTATAGCATCCAAAAAGTGAATACTCTTACAATGTTTTCCCCCCACTTTTTGGAAGTTCATTTTTTTCTGCTCAGTAAGAATTTTATCATAATTTCATGCCCCCACACTTCACGGTTTGTTACTTGGTCTATTACTCTCACATTTAACTTGATAAGGTCCTGCTTTCTACGATATTAATTTTTGAGTTTTGATTCTTTACAGCTGCTGCTCTGAAGTCTTAGACACCGTTCTCAGCACTGCACACTGCTCCTGGTCTTAAGCTTTTCCTTCAACTGCAGTACCTAGCTCTGTTTCTCCCAAACAACTTTTCAGTAAATTGTTATAATCTAATATTCTAAAATGAAAGTTTTGCTTTTAATCAGGGCAAAACTGTGGACTAGTGACTGCTGTCAAACGGTTTGGTGATTTACCCTCATCTTCTTCAATCCTTTCTTCAAAGGAATTTAAGTCCGTTACTTAGTTCAGGAGGATTCTGAATCGTTGTGCATTTCATACGTGCATGAAAGGAAGAACTGATGCTCATACTTGTCTTTGTGCCCTCTCTTTCAGCACCACGTTCTTTTCGACCCAGTCCTGTCCAGGACCAGGAAATGCCGCTGTCAATAACTTCCTTTGGATAACGTGAAAGCGTGCTGGAATAGTGAGTATGTGTGTTGTTGAATGGCTATTAGCTGGAAACGAGCAGATATGAAAATTCAGGTTTTGCCCTCGCTTTCCCCCTTCAACACTTACAGTGATCTAAAAGAGTGCACGCAGATCTGGACTGCAGGTCAACATCAGGTAAAAACTTCCCTTACCAACCTTAGTATCTTTAGTTATTGTCCTGGTTTCAGCAGGGATAGAGTTAATCTCCTTCCTAGTAGCTGGTACAGTGCTGTGTTTTGGATTTAGCAGGAGAATAATGTTGATAACACACCAATGTTTTAGTTGTTGCTGAGCAGTGTTTATACTAAGTCAAGGACTTTTCAGCTCCCCATGCTCTACCGACTGAGAAGGCTGGAGGTGCACAAGAAGCTGGGAGGGGGCACAGCCAGGACAGCTGACCCCAACTGGCCAAAGGGACATTCCATACCATGGGACGTCATGCTCAGTACAGAAACTGGGGGAAGCTGGCCGGGGGGGCCGCTGCTCGGGGACTGGCTGGGCATCGGTTGGCGGGTGGTGAGCAATTGCACTGTACATCACTTGCTTTGTGTATTATTATTATTATTATTATTATTTTACTTTATTTTATTTCAATTATTAAACTGTTTTTATCTCAACCCACAAGTTTTCTCACTTCTACTCTTCCAATTCTCTCCCCCATCCCACCAGGGGAGGGGGGCAGTGAGTGAGCAGCTGGGTGGTGCTCAGTCGCCGACTGAGGTTAAACCACAACAGTTATTAATTGGAAAAATGTGGTCTGAGATTTTTTAACTTTCTTTAAGGGACAAAAAATGAGCAAGGACCTCATCTCACACGTTGAGCTGAGGTTGTTTTGAATCTCGAGGCAATAAGGATGTATAAATGGAGGGCTGAGGGCACCATGGCTGGAGCAGTACTGCAGATATTCCCACTGGCTTCTCTCCTCTGTGTGTGCTTTTTATGTGAAGGGTCCTCATTTTTTCATTCCTTAGCCCTTTCTGTGCAGTGTCCAGGGATTTGTCTACGGATACAAACACGCAGTTCTCATGCAAGTTACTTACAACCATCTATGAGCACAGATTATGTATACTTACAATTAACACTTGCAATTTGACACCTTGTCAAATTATACACACTGGGTCATAAAGAAATGACAAACTTTTGCCAGCATTACTCTTCCTTCACGATACGGGGCAGAATTCTAATAACGAAATCTCCTTATTATACAGAGCTACTTACAGATATTAGCAGTGCCCTTAGGTATAGGCAGATAAGAACCAGGGCTCCACGGTCGGCCCTGGTAATTCTTCTTGCATTTTCCACAGTCTGGGCCAGTTGTGTTATGCTCACATTCACAAAGTAGTCTTTTGTTTTCTTCTTTACAGCCAGTAGCGTGAAGGTTGCACTTACACCTGTTTTTAAAAGGCAGAAATAAAAAAAAGCGGGATATTATTTAGAGGTGAGTTTAAGTTCAGATTAAGTCTTAGTAAAGCGTGTCCTATGGCAACCACTCTGTTTCCGCGTGTTGTGCCTGTATTATTATTTTCGCATGCTTTACAAGACATCACTCAAGCAGCATGTTGTAATACCTTCAGCTCGCACAGGTCTAAAAGCAGTAATTTCACCAAGACTCCAAGATGCTGAATCTTTTCTTGTTTTCACTAACGCAGCTCCACTGAGATCAACTAAATTATTCATAATTTTCACTACAGACAGGTTTATAATCTTGCAAAAACTCAGGAGTAACTCACTACTCTCAGGAACAAAACAAGTCCTCTGCTTACGTCCTTAGAGAATCTGGCCTGAATTAAGATCCAAATTAGGCCCTGGGAGTCTGAGAAAACAGACTTCAATTAACGTCCTCTGCAATGCCACAGTTGGTAGAAGGGAAGCTCGCTATAATGGTGTTTTGCCATTCTTGCTCAGCAAGTGCTCTCTTGCTCAGAAAGGAAAATTTTTTTGCCTGCTTTAATTTGATATAGTTGTAGTAGCTGAAGGTCAGAGGAAGTATTTTGGTAGGCACATTTAGTTTTACTTAGGAAAGAACACCTAATCGAACCTTGCGACAAAATCATTAGATAAACCAGATTCTGCACCTGG